AGGAAAAGCGGGAAACTGCATCGAGACTGGGGCTATACAGTATTTTATCGGATTGGTGTTTCCATTAAGTAGGGTTCCATTTTTGAGGATGATCATCTATTGGGTTTATTCTTGGGCCCCACGTAGACATGTAAATCTGTATCCGTATGTGTAGGATCGACCTACCAGTTCATCTTTGAGGCCTGTTCAACACTTTTTGTTCAAGGTGAGCCAAGAATGAGGGGTTGGTGGGGGCCAGAGCGTATAGTAGGTATTGCGAACAATGTGATGTCCCAATAAGCACTTGTCACGCCAGTTGGCATCTTCCTTCTGCAAAAAACTCTTGGTCAGCAGCGTCTTGCAGTGAACAATTACAGCTGACTCTTCTCTAGGTGTCCGCAACCACTCAATCACTAAGCTGCAGCGCTTGATCATTAAAACCCCTAGGCCCAGCCCTATCCTACAAACCATGCTTCTCAACAGCTTTGCCAGCTGGCGGAGAAAACCCGGTGCCCTTGAACGGAATATGCACGACAAGAGAGAGCTCCAGGGCTTCTGGTTCTCAAAGCTCACTATTCGGGGCCGTTGGAACGAGCATATTTTGCTGTTCTCTGTGACTATTGTTGCTGGCATTTTTGAAGTTTCTTCAACTCTGCATCAAGCTTGGTTTCCCAGTGTGTTTGGTTACGGCATGATTCTTACTTACAGCTTGGATTCGCCCGGTGTATCAAGTCTGGGCGTCACATTGGGGACCGGGGACCTACTGGCTGTGGGAGGGGAAGGGTGGTGAAGTAGGGGAGCAGGAAGAAAGGAGTTGCGGACGTACCCCCGAGCCTGGAAAGTTGGTATTTCTCAATAAGTAATGCAGGTACCATTTCTAATGACTTTGTTGTTGTTCAGGCTCCATTCATCTTATTAGCTTGATATTTTCTGCAGTCGCTGTCTGCTCAATTCCACGAGGAGCCACCTAGACCCCGGCAGTAGCTTACAGTACCTAAAGGGTTCAGGCAGATGCTCAAGTTACTGCAAATGCTGTAATTCCACGTGTGGCATCAAGAGAAAAGAAGGTTCATCATAAATGGTCGAAAACCTGATTCAGAAGCCTTGCGCAGACCACTCTCTGCCACGTTTCGGACGAGTGCCCGATGCGCGGTGCAGCCATGCCCAAAGAGTGGCGCAAATTTGAGGGTTTCCCAAGCTAAAGGGCTGCTTCATATGCAGCAAAATATCAAGATCCCTTTTCTAGAGACCCAGGCTTTTGAGAAGCCCCCAAATGCAATGGGCGATCTGGGCGTGATGCAGATCTCGAGGTTGGCCAGCCCAAAGCATCCTCGTAGCCTGTACCAAGAGCCTCACCCATCTCTGACACATTGGGGTTTCCAAAGTTAGGGGTCCCTTTTGAAAGGTTCCCATGATGCAGTGTATAGTGTTTTGGAGGGGGACCCAGATTTTGGAAATCCCTGCATGGGCCACAGAAAACACTTCTGCTATGACCCATTTGGCTTTGAGCTGACGCGCGGACGGGGTGCGCAGTGAAGCGTGCGTAAAGATGCCTGCGCAAGGTGTTGGTCTTTAAGAATTGGGCTGTAACCAGGAGAAATGGTTTGGCTGCCATGTCGGGAAGGGAATATGAGCATGGATACAGATACAGTTCTAGAATCAGCCTTGGCTTGCTCCGGTTCTTGCCAACGGTTCAGATTCATCAAAATGGAACATATTTGGAAAGCAGGCATGCCCATGTTTTGAGTCTTTCCAGGATCCCTCGCTGAACCTTGGCCAAGGATGCTTTGGTGATTCCCTATATGTCTCTTGACCTTGAGAAGCATACAAGAGACCCAAAGGGTTACCTTGTTTTTCGGACTTTAGGAATCTGCCACACGTACCCAAGCAACGTGCTGCAGAGTGGTTGCTCGACGCTCGAGCGGCTCCCATGGTTTAGTTGTTATGATTCCTCAGCACCAGTACCAGCGCACCACATTCATAACAAAAGCCGTATGGGAAGACATTCAAAGCATCAGAGTAAAATCGTAAAGAGCAGGCTTCCAGCATAGTCGCTGCGATTATTCACTGCTCAGAATGATTTCGGAAGCGGACATCTGGTCAACGCAGCCCAACACACCCGATGATGGTTGATGAACACCGAAACGCATGACCTTGCATGTATGAGAACTTTTGAAAAGCCTGTAGATCAGAGATCCAGATCTTAAACCTTTATAAGACTTCAGGCACTAGGCCCTAAGCTCTTCTGCACCCGTCTGCAAGGTCCTAGGTCCTGAGCACAAGAATCTTCCGAATCTCATCCCTGCCCTGAAGTCCATCAAGCCTTGAACCAGAACATGGGATTGTCTGTAGCGAGGAAGCCAAGTGGTACCGTTTTACCCTATTCGGGTTCTGCGTTCCTTCATGGGATTCACCTAGAACAAGAAATTGTGCCCTTATTGTGATATGGGTACTGAGCTAGTGCATTTGGGTCTTGCAGCACCAATGCTGCAGCCATCGACGGGTGAGCTGCCACTCTCCTGCAGGCTGCAGCCATTGGGAATAGGTTCAAAATGTCCAGAAACGACATGGGGTTTCCGGAGTGATTTTTTTAGGGCAACCCACAATCGCAGGATTCCAACACATATGGTGGGGTAAACAAGGGCGACCCCGGTGTTTCAAAGCAACCAGAGAATATTACGCAGGGACCACGTGGTGACTACTGCAGTTCAAGAAGTATCTCCGGTTTTTGTTCACTTTTCAGCTGGGGGACCCATCACGGTGGGGGGGAGGGGCGGGGAGCGGCAGGGGAGGTGCGGGGGAGGAGGCATGGCCGGTGCCACGTCTTACAGCCGCATCAACTCCAAGACACTCGTGCGCGGGGGGAGCCCAGAGCAAGAGTGCTAAAGCCCGAAAAAAGCTCCAATTCAACGAATTTCAACATTTTCGGCCATCTTCCTAGGTCCCCCCCTTGGAATCTAGTGGAGTCGAATATTCACGTAGCAAGATTCTAGAAGCGCTCTAGGTAGCCGCCTGCTTTACATAAGTGGGTCAAAAACTATTTTTGAACGAAAAAACATAAAATGAATCAAACATAGTCCAGGTTTTCGATCGTTTCGTCGTTTTTCGTTTCGTCGGACCGATTTTGGCGATTTTTTCCGGATGTTAACGTTTACGGCCGTTTTTTTCTGTTGTCAGGACAGGAAGGAACCAAATATAGGCTTCGTATACTTTTATATACACACACACACACCAGTTCAGACGCTGATGGGCAGTCTTGATTGCAACTCGTATATAGCGCATGTAGCAGACATCACACAAGCGAGGATCTCGTTTTGGCGAGAAGTAGACTTAAGGCTTCAACGGATGTTTTTGAGCTAGCTCTCTTCCGAGTTTACTCCTTTGAACCACTCCCAGCCTGTTCCCCGATTAGTCCCAACCTCAACACAATCCCTGATCAATAAAACCGTGCATACACCGTAAACACAAATAACCTCCACAACCCCACGTGAATCCTCTACATACCCCTTATATCTGTTCGAAACCATCACTGTGAGTCTCAGGCTTGAAGCCTAAGCCTCTAAACCCCAAAAATCCCTAACGCACTCAACTCCTGAACTACTCAGGACCTACACCGCCCCCGGCAAAAATCGCAAAACCTCGAAAGCCCTAAATCTTTTGAGCAAGCAGGAATGGATTTGGCGCAGTGGACTTCGCAGCAATGGGCAGCTGGTAAGCATGGGGCCGCATGTGTGGGTTTCTCAAAAGGATAGGTTTCCTCCAAAGAGCTCAGCTTTCAGAGGTATGCACCCATTGAAGGCTACATTGCTTTGTAGAAGTATTCACTCATATGAGGTTGCATGAAGCTTTTTAGGGGTATGTCGTCACAAGGTTGCATAGGTTTTTCTGGGGATACATGCGGATTGCTGAGTTTAGAAGCCAAGGTTTGCTGCCTCCGGAATCAGGGAATGAGGGCATACATCTCACAAGACTTCTTCCTGAAAGCCAAGCTTCATAATAGCCCCCACTGCTTGGTGGTCGTCGCACACTCTTCCTCCCTGTTGTCTACTGGGCACTTACCAGATGGCAAGAGATCAACAGGTATGTTTTGTATCAGCGTGAGGGGTCTGCCAATAGAGAAGCAGGTGGCTGTGCATCCAGAGGAAGGGCCCCATGCCTGGCCGCAAATTGAAATTTTTCTTCGTAAAAATCTGCCCAAGAGGATTTTTCATGTTGATATACCACCTAGGCAGAGGCGAGAGAATCAGTGTAAGAACATCTTCCTTCTTGCCAGTACTTGTGCTTCATGATCGGGAAGAGACCAGCCTCCCAGCTGATGACACGAAACATTGAGGTTAGGGATGTTCAAAGCCCGGAACTTGAGCTCTAAACTCTGCCATCTCATGTGACTCGATGCTTGCAGCAATGGAAGGCCTGCACTCCCCGCTGCAGACCCAAACCTTGTATACTTTGAGCTTCATTAACGTTCCAAATTAACGATACAGATTTACGATACAGATGCTCTTCAGCAATGGAAGCCTGGCACACCACGAGTCCTGGCCCGGGGTGCTGGCACGGTCCGCCCGGCTCTCTTGTCGGATTCTGTGCTGAAGCTGTGGGCACTAACGTTGTTGATGTCGCAGATGCTGTGCTAGTAGTAGCAACATCAGTAGCAGGCGCTGTACGTAGCAGCAGCAGGAGGACAAGAAGTCATCGTCGTCTGAACAGCAGATGGAGCAGGTTAGTATTTGCAGTTGTTGCTCTGGCGGTTATTGCTATTAGCATGGTTCTTGCTGCCTCGTGCCTATTCGCGACTCGCTGTGCAATGCCTTGCTTGCGGCTGTGCGTCGTTGAGTTGAAGCTGTCCGACGTGCAATTTGTGCTCCAAGGGCATAGCAGTTTCATACATGCAGGTGCACTTTGCACTCGCACTTGCGAAGCACATGTCATCTGGCAAACTGCACGCATTTTGGCCATCGCCATCGCTCATTTGTGTGTTTGTCTTTGAGTTGCAGTAGAGAACCTCGTCTGCGACTGTAGCCATGGCGGGAATCTCCTCAGCACCGCCCAGCGAAGAGCTCTTTGTGACCGGGTTGCCCATGGATTGCACCGCCGAACTTTCCAAGCAGATCTTCAGCCAGTACGGTTCCGTCAAGGAGACCTCCGTCCTCCCCGTCTCCCCGGGCAAGCAAGCGGCGGCCGGATTCGTTGTGATGAACAGCGTGGAGGATGCCAGGTGGATTGTGGAACACGTGAACGGCAATGTCCCGCAGGGCCTTGCGAATCCGGTGACCGTTGTCTTCGCAACCCCGAAGTCCATGCGCCCAGGAGGTGGTGGCAAGAGCGGCATGAAGGGCATGATGAAGGGCATGGCAGGAAAGGGCATGCCCCCTGAGATGATGCAGATGATGTCGATGTTCATGAGCGCCATGGGTGGCGGCGGTGGAAGTTGGGGAGGCAAAGGTGGCGGCGGTGGCTGGGGTGGCGGTGGCAAAGGAGGTGCCAGGCCCCCCACCGGCAGCGTGATTCGAATGCAGGGATTGCCCTTCTCATGCTCAAATGACGAGATCAACCAGTTCTTTGCAGGCTACGGGCTTACAGGGCGGATGCATCTGCAGTCTGATGCTGGCGGCCGCCCTACAGGCATCGGATTCGTGGAGTTCGTCTCTTCGGAAGAGGCAAAGCGGGCCTACAACGACAAGAACTACCAGACAATCGGCACACGCTACATTGAGCTTATGGAAGCTTATGAGAAGGACGTCGAGATGTACCTCAACGGTGGTGCGGCCCTGATGAATGGCGGGGTCAAGGGCGGATACTAATCCCTCAGCATGGCATCGAAAATCCAAAGACAGACGCAGACCTATGATTGCCCGACACGATTCTAGTCCACACGTGGTGGTATCACTTTCTTCTTCTGTCTCTTTTAAGGAACATCCCCATTCGATCTGTAAATTGGCATATGTATGAACGAGAACTGACACTTCCCAAGGAATGGATGTACTATGAGAGTCTTGTGGATGGGCTCGAGCAGTGAGGGAGTCAGGTTCTTCTGATTAGTTCTTGTCAGAATTTTGCGGACTGACTCGAACGAAGAGGGATTGCTGCAAACAGACTTGCTAAGCCCGTTTTTAATCTGAGCATAACTGTAAAGAGAGTGGTTCAGACTTGAGCCAGTCCAAAGTAGCCTATGACCCGGAGACGTAGGTCTCCAAAATTGCGCCTTGCAAAAAATGAGATCTGCACATTCAGAGATGCTATGCTGCAATCAGGCCTGGGTAGTTCTCAAAGTAACAGTCTCCTAGAAACTGGGGGCCATGGTCTCGCACGGAAGCTGAATCGTTGCAAGGATGCATGATTTTGAGCCCCTTTCCTGCGCTTTCTTGTTGCCATGCCAGGTGCGGGATCCATCGCGAAGACGGTCTTCTGCAGTCTTCTTGCGCTTGCGTGCGCAAAGCGGTCGGGTATCCCTTGTATTTCCAGAAGAGCCCCTAAGCCTCTACAGCTGATCCACTTTCAGGAATGGTCTCTGCCTGGGCGGGACGTCGGTGCTAATTGGGGTCCTGAATTGGGGTTACATAGGTATTAGGCTGAAAAATTACAATCATATGCAAGGCAGGGGCGCTGTCCTTGCTGCAGGGCCCTGCCAGCAACCTGGCGCTAGCAAGCTGGGAGGGTAGGGGCTTGGTATTTGAGTTAGTCAGGCCTTGGTGTTTGGGTTTTAGCAGAAGTATTGGGGTTATATAGGGATAATGGAGAAGAACATGGAAACTACTATAGGGTTTAGGGTTCATGGCTTAGGCTCAGGAGCTTCAGCTGCAGAAGGCTCAGGCCAATTGAAGGAAAGCACGCCGCAGTCATGAAGTTACCAGATGGTGTGATGTTTCACAGGCGCAGATCAACTTCAACGCATGTCTGCCTCTGAATCAGGCCTGCTCTGAGAGATTCCAAAAAGGCAGGACATTTCTTATCTAGGGACCTCTCAACCGGGGACGTTTCTGAGAACCCCAGGCGTGTGCGATGCTGCTTGAGATTTTGCAGGCTCCATCGTCAAGTGATCATGATTTGGGATGGTATAGGGTTTACGCCTTCCCAAGGGTCCCTACAAAGATTTGTGTCCGTTTCCAAGCTACACATGTTTGCTTGGGCGAGATTACCATTCCCTAGGAAACATCAGCAAATAAAATAGGCGACGCTGCACATCCAAGGAAATCGAACTCACGTGGAGTCAGACATAAGCCACAGGGCAGCAAGAACGTCTTTGCATGAAGCGATTGACGGCTGGGGGTTCTCGAATTTTGGGTCTCGTTTTGTGAGTCTGCAATAAGGATTAATAAGTGTTCAGTGGGGACCTCTCTCTTTGGAAGCCCGCATTTGGCTTTAGCGTTGAGTTTAAAGCACGGGGTCGCGAACCCTTCGCTGCTCACATCATCAGGCAAGTTTTGAGCAGTTTTTAAATATGATTTCTCCTAACTCCCGAGAGCCCTGACCCAATCCTGAAGTTTCCCCTTACAGTACGCATCCCTCTTTATTCAGTTTCCACGCTTTGCGGAACGGTACACTTCCATGCTGCATAATCGTCTACAGTCTAGAATGCCCGTTTCATGATCCCACCAAGTTGTCACACACCCCTTATGACGCATTTTGGGGTTGACAGACTCCCAAATCCCAGGCTTGATGACTAAACCCGAAACCGAAACCCCAAGCCCAAAGCTCTACAGCCTAACACCTTGAACCCTAACTCCCAAATAGTAAAACTCTAAACCTGAAACTCCTCAAGCCTCTGTCAATTCCAAAGTCTGAAATGCCAAGCTCTACGAACCTAAAACCCTAACGGCCTGAAACCCCAAAGCCCTGCAGTCAAACACCCCAGGCTGGCCGTACATAGCCCCGATATCCCATTTAAAGAGATCCCAAACCCTCAAAGCCTCCCAAACCTCCATGTAATCCCCCATGATTCTGTAGTCTTGATGTTTGTTTCCATTCCTGGAGCCTCAAACCCCGAACCCCAAGTCCCAGCCCTGATACCTGTCAGGGGGACGGGGTAACCCGTACATAAGCCAAGTTTCTCGTACAAGATCCTTAATCCCCAACATTTCCTAATCCTCCCTGGTACTCCCATTACTCCGTTCCGCAGTACCTACCCTAGTTGGACCAACCCCTCTTGAGCACCTAGTAGCTAAAACCCTGGACACGGAACCCTGAACCTTAGACCCAGACTCCTAATCTTGGAGTCTAAAACCCTAAAACCTTAAACCCTAAACCCAAACCCTACGCCCTGAACCCCAAATCCTAAACCCTAATCCTTAAACCTTAAGCCGAGCCCCAAAACCTTATGCATATGATCCCCCTTAAGTAGATAGACTATGGGATATATAGGGATCTTATTATAATATACCCAAAGCCATATTCTATCTACTCAAGGGGGACTGTGAACGCTAAAAGTTTGCATCAAGGACTGGCCCTGGCCTCGAGGCTTACAGCTGTCTCGCCGCTTCTGCGCGTGGCTGCCATGGTGGGCGGGGCTCTGATGGATTTGCTTCTCAAAAATACAGGCTGCATGTGTATATCTCTCTCTATATATATGTATGTGAATATTTTGCAGGAGGTTCAGGGTTTTGTCTTTTGGGTTAGGGTTCAGGGGATTGCAGTTAGGGTTCATACGTGGTCAGCATTTAGCGATTAGAGTTTTGGGCTACTTGAGGTCTTGCAGGGTTTTGTCCCTCAAAGATTTCCTCCATCCAGGAGTACCGATCTCCCGAGCAGCTCTGCGCACGGGTTCGGGAAAGAGCGGAGTGCCTTGGCCCAAGAGGCACGGATTAAAGGCAAAGCCGGGTTGAGCAAAACGCTCTGCGCTTTAAGTAACCTAAGAATATGAGGGGCGTGGAAAAGGAATACTGGCGATCTGTAATTAGGAGATGTTTTTATACAAGCTCAAGTACGATTTGGGGGTTGGGCTTCAGGGTAGGAAGGTTGCAAGTCGCTCAAAGAGTCATAGAGGCTTATACAGAGATATGACTTAAAACGTAGCTGGAATAAGAACTGCGCCATTTTGAGCGTACATGACCGAGCGAGTGCAAGCAGTCAGGAATTGTGAGGTGTGCAGAAGGTCTACGATGATGATGATGATGACGACGATGATGGTGGTGGTGGTGGTTGTTGTGGTTTTGGTGGTGGTGATGGTGGTGATGGTGGTGATGATGGTGATGACGGAAGTGATGATGGGGAGGGTTGGCATATTGTGTCTTGTTGCCTCTGCCATTTTCATTATGCTTCTGCTTTCCTGTGATAGAGACATCACCAGTTGGAGTGATGGGGCGCAAGAATGTGCATGGGACTTGACATTCTCATATTACTAGTTTCTGCGATAAGGATGTTCCTAGACGCGGCGTCTGTAGCTCTCACTTTGGAGTCGGGTGTCTCGCAATGAAAGGTCCAAGTTCTTCTTGGCATTGCTCATGGTTCGTGAGTATTCAATATAACCCCTATTCATATGTATACTTCCGTAAAACCCCAAATACTGATATACCCCAATATCTCCCCTCAACGCTAAACCCAAACCCTACACCCTAAACCCTAAACCCGAACCCTAAACCCCAAATCCTAAACCCCAAACCAGGAATTTCACCGGCTGCGCCTTGGGCCTCATCTCCCTGCGCTCCTTAGCCAAGGCTTGCCTTTGCGGTTTCCATTTTGGGGCTTGGGGTTTGATGGGCTTTATTTAGTGGCTTCGGATGCCTTTTTTCCTTTTCACGGCACAAAGGGTTTATACCGGGATATATATATATATATGTACGACGGACTTCTATGTATAATGTGATCCTCTCCCTTCTTTTACCTTTAATAGGGACCGAAATCACATGCTTAATTCAAAAACGTACAGAATTTCAAAAAACTTGAAACACTAAAAAAAAACAGAGAAAACCTAAATCATTTGGAACTTTAAGTTTCTAAGGTTTTTTAAGTCCCACAAAGACTTAAACAACTTTTTTTTTTTTAATTTTCTTAACGTTTTTAACAAACCTAAAAAAGCACGAATACTTTTTGAATTACATTTTTTTGATGTTTTTAGCTTTTTCAAGTCACAAAAAAGTTAACAACTTAAAACCAAAAAAACATTAATAATTAGATTTTCTTCAGTTTTTTTTTTGAGTTTTGCTTTTTTTAAAAGGTTTTTTGGACTTAAACTTAAAAAAAACCTTAAACAGCTTAAGCAAGCCAATTCTTCGGGTGCTTTTAAGTGCTTTAAAGAATTCAAAGAACTTGAAACATTTAAACAACTTAAACAATCAAAACTTAAAACACGCTTTCAAAACTTAATTACCCCTAGCAAGACTACTTTAAAGGCAATCTCGCCTCTCTGTTGGATCCATCATCGATATAAAAACGTTCATTTTTTGAGGACGTCTCGAGCGAGAGCGCGGTTTTGATAAAAACGATGATGCTCGACGGCTGAAAAAATGGAATTGTCTCGCGCGGGAGCGTTTTTTTTTGATATTTCATAAAGTCCGAAAAAACTGGATTTTTCGAGGATGTCTCGAGGGAGAGCGCGATTTTTGAAAATCGGCTTCGCGGCCAGACCGGTAATGACCCCCCTCTAGCAAGACTACTTCAAAGGCGATGTCTCCTATTATTGAAATTTATTTTTCCAAAAAGCGTCGATTTTTTGAGGACGTCTCGAGCGAGAGCGCGATTTTTAAGCCAACATGAGCGCGTCCAAAATGTTTGCGCGACGGAAGAGCACGCTGCGACGGAAGAGCACGCTGCGGGTGCTGGCGACGGCACATCTAAACAATTAGAACCCCACAATGCCTGTGGGGAA